ATGCCGGTGCCGCAAGGCGGAGGACTAGCCTAGTGAGCCGTGGCGCCAGCCTCTGTTTTGTATTTTTAAAACTATTTCAATAAGTTTTCTTCTCAGAGGTCTCATTAGTCACTACCTAAACTCTGCTGTTGGACCCATAAACAAGAAATGACCAAAATGAGATTACAGTTGAAAGAAAAAAGATGTGTAATTGCCAGAAGACAAATGTATATTCTCAAGGTCATTTCTGTTACCAATGCAGAGGAACAGTGACTTTGCACTCCTGGATTCGTGGAAGTTTGGTGGTGCAACCTCTGAGGTCATTCGGTCCATTCATTCACAAACAAGCAAAGGGGAATCCCGTGTTCACTGGCTTGTTTCCCACTGCTGCCTACTGAGGGGGCAGAGCCAGGACTACAGGTGAGGTCTTAGGACTCCTAACCTGGTGTTCTTCCCGGCTGCCCTTTTGCCTTAGACAGTGCTCTAAAAGGTTTTGCTTTTTGACACCACAAAAGCAATAAGTACATTACTCAACATGTACCCATATAAGGGACCATTTTGGACGTTGATAGCCATTTTTAGACCAACTGAGACATCTTTCAAAAAGATTTAATAGCACTTCCTTGAACATCAACCAAATAAGAGTCTAAAAAGATAAAAATTCTTACACAAAATTCTAAAGGCAGCAAACCCCAAAGTCAGGTCCTAACCACCTGTGTTAGTATCGTGTAGTCACATCACCCTAATTGCTGACGTCACTTACCTTAGCGTTCTTCCTTTTCAGGTTTTTCAACATCTGGGCTTCTTTAAGCTGTATGAAACGAAAGATAATTCCTGTGCATTTCCCAAGATTAATCATTTTGACATAGGTTACATTTAATTTAAAAATAGCATGTAAAATATGAGTAGTGCTAATGACTTTATTACCATATTGCCAGAAAATGCAAGCTTTTCTATGCTAACAGCATACTGCCTCAGGATAAGCTGAAAAACCTTAGGCCAAGAAATTTGTCAGTGAGCTTACCATTTTGATGAGTTCTTCTTTAATATTACAATGAAATTTATTGATGGCTTCTTTACAAATTTTAGATTCTATTCTTTCTCTGTAGAGGAGTTAAAAAAAGGGATCAAATTAGGTATCATGAAGGATTTTGAAATGTGTTTCTCCGGCTTAGCATATGTAATATATGCACAACTTGGCATGTACCATTTAAAAAATTTAAGATGTAATATTCAGCCTGTGGTACTTTCTCAGACAATCTAGGAAACATGTCTCAGCAAAGAAAATGACCAGAAGTGCCCTTCACCAACGGATGGGCAAGCCAGAGAGTGGTTGTGCCCACGCTCACACTGTTAAGCAACCCTGCGGTGAGAACCACATCTGACGGCTCACCCCAGTGACCCAGGGACCCTCTTCAAATCACCTTAGCTGGACTACCTCCTTCCTCTTAGAACCATTAACTTAACGACTTTGGGGTTTAACATGCTGCATGAGTTTAGAGGCAAATCATACTCAAACCAGAACACGTGAGCTCCTATATTCAATTTATTTAATTTCTTCTCCAATTTTTACTATTAGTCTCCTGCTTACTTTGGGTTTCCTTTGCTTCTGTACCTGGATTGCTAAGATGAGTTAGATGACTGATGCACTGCTTTCCTGGCATCCCATATTTTTCACTTTAGTTCAAACACATTTAGTTTTCTGTTAAGATTTCTTCTTTGACATACATGTTCTTTATAAGTATGTTGTGGCCGGCGCCGCGGCTCACTAGGCTAATCCTCCGCCTGCGGCGCCGGCACACCGGGTTCTAGTCCCGGTCAGGGCGCTGGATTCTGTCCTGGTTGCCCCTCTTCCAGGCCAGCTCTCTGCTGTGGCCCGGGAGTGCAGTGGAGGATGGCCCAAGTGCTTGGGCCCTGCACCCCATGGGAGACCAGGAGAAGCACCTGGCTCCTGCCATCGGATCAGCACGCTGCGCCGGCCGCAGTGGCCATTGGAGGGTGAACCAACGGCAAAGGAAGACCTTTCTGTCTACTCTGTCAAAAAAAAAAAAAAAAAAGTATGTTGTTTAATTGCCAAGTATTTAAAAATTTTTTTCCAGCTATCTGTCTGCAACCAGACACTGTAAGATTTCTATTATTTTACATTTCTTAGGGTTGTGTTTTTTATGGCCTAGATTGTGATCTGTCTTGACAAATATTCCTTGTGATCTTGAGAAGAATGTGTATTCTGTGTTGCTGAAGTAGCCTGCAGTCTATAGCTATCCATAATAGGTTGAACACCCCTCATCTAAAAACCCAGCATCCAAAACGCTCTGAAATCCAAAATGCTGAGTGCCAACATTACACTCAGTTTTGGATTCTTGGATTAAAGACACTCAACCAATTAAGTGTGCAGGTATTCCAAAATCTGAAAAGCTCAGAAATCAAACATTTTCAGTCCCAAACACTTCAGATAAAGGACACTCAGCTTGTACAGTGTTTCTTATCTCTGGCATTTGTTTTACTGTTTGAATTTAGAACTCTTGGGAGCAGGGGTTTGATGCAGTGGTGAAGCCATTGCTTGGGCGGCCCATAGCCCACATCAGCGTGCCTGGTTTGAGTTCCAGCTCTGCTTCGATTCTAGCTCCCTGCTGACGTGCACCCCTGGAGGCGGCAGGTGGTGGCTCAGTGTTGGGTCCCTGCCAGCCATGTGGGGGACCCGGACTGACTTCCTGGCTCCTGGATTTGGCCTGGCCCAGCCTCGGCTATTGTAGGCATTTGGGGAGTGAACCACAGTAGATGGAAGAAATCAGTATCTCTCTTCCACCCCTTCCCTCTCCCTTTCAAATAAAATGAAAAAAAAAATTAAACAATAATTTGTATCTCTCTGCTGTATCACTCATTTTCTCCAAAGATACAAATGGTCATGAAGCACCTGAAAAGACACGCAACACTAACACGAGGGGAATGCAGACAGGTCTACATGGCACTCTACTCACTGGGATGACTACTGTAAACACCACCAGAACACGGGTGTTGGCAGGAATGCGGAGAAAGAGACACAAATAACTGGAAGGACATTCCATGCTTATTGACTAGAAAACTTAATACACAGATTCGCTGCACCTCCTATCAAAAGTCCAGTGACATTTTTGCAGCACTAGAAAAAATCCTAAAATTCATGTGACTATCAAAAGACTCCAGAAAGCCAAAACAATCTTAAGAAAGCTGCAGGCCTCATACTTTCTGATTTAGAAACATATTACAAAGCTACAGTAGTCAAAACAGGATGGCACTGGAATACAGACAGAAACACAGACCAATAAGACTGCATAGCAAATCCAGAAACAAACTTTCACGTACACTGGGGGCTTCTGATCATCAGTGTGGTGCCAGCACTACATAATGGGGAAGGCAGGCTCTTCAGCAAGGGGTGTTAGAAAATCTGCAGGTCCACCTGTAAAATAAGTGAAGCTGGCCCTTACCTTACACTATGCATACTTCAAAATGCACTCAGAATGCATTAAAGACTAAAACAGTAACATCCCAAGTGGAAAAAATAGGGATTGCATGTCACATCAACACACAGATAACAAAAGCAAGAACAGACAAATGGAGCTGCATCCGTTTAAAGCTTCTATTTGCCTTAAAAAGGAAATTCTGACAACATGGCCACCACGTGGATTAACCCTGAGGACAGAGCGTGAAATAAGCTAATTACAAAGGGACGCATATGAGGGGTCTTCAGAAGGTTTGTGGAAAATGGATTTTAGGGCAAAACTATGCATGGGTTTCAAAATTTTGTGCACCAAATAACTATCTTTTAATTCCATTTTGTTTTTAAGTACCCTCAAATGTATGATCCCACTTATGAGTTACACAGAGTAGTCAAGTCTGCAGAACAAAGTAGAAGAGTGCTTGCTAGGGGCTGGTGAGAAGGGGATAGTTTAATGGACACAGGTTTGGGCTTGACCAGATGAACAGTGTCTAGAGCGGGGTCCACAACAGTGACAATCTACTTCACACTGCCGACCTGTGCACTTACAAATGCTTAAGATGGCAAGTTTTATGACGTCCTGTTATCACAGGTACAAATTATACGTCCTATCTTGTGAAGAAGAATTTCTAATTTAATATAGATACCAAATTTTCAGATGTGAAAAAAATTTTTTGGCCAGCACTATGACTCAATAGGCTAATCCTCCACCTGTGGCGCTGGCACACTGGGTTCTAGTCCCGGTCGGGGCACTGGATTCTGTCCTTGCCCCTCTTCCAGGCCAGCTCTGTGCTGTGGCCAGGGAGTGCAGTGGAGGATGGCCCAAGTCCTTGGGCCCTGCACCCCATGGGAGACCAGGAGAAGCACCTGGCTCCTACCATCGGATCAGCGCGTGCGCCGGCCACAGCAGCCATTGGGGGATGAACCAACAGAAAAGGAAGACCTTTCTCTCTCTATCTCTGTCCTGTCCACTCTGCCTGTCAAAAAAAAAATTTTTTTTTTAATAAGAAAAACGGGCCAGGCCTCTCTGCTGCGGTCATTCTAATGATGATAAACTGATGGATTCTATCAGCCACAAGGTGACAGTCTACACAGGATGCTCAGACACAGCTCTTTCAAGTTTAGTGCTTAAAAACCTGGCCACTTCATCAGACCTAGTTATGGAGTATCCTAAGAATGTGTGATGTCTGCATTTCATGACATACTTCCTTGCTTATATACACTGACATACTGCTTACAACGAGCGAGTCTGTTGACAAGCAAAAAAAAATTGTTCAGGCTTGTCACGTGTATTACAAATAGCAGACCCCCAAACAGGTGTTTATTTGGAAAGTGGGAAGTGTTCCACGTGGCTGAGAACCTAGAGGTTGCAAAAACACAAGATCAGTGATTTCACAGGAATTGTTTGATGCAACAAAAAACAACGTTGTTTTGTAATTTTAAAAGTCTGTGAAAAATGCAAGTGAAGTATTCTTTATCCAAACTGCCGGGGACCAGAAGCATTTTGTATTGCAATTGTTTTGGATTTTGGAGTATGTGCATATACATAATGAGACTTCTTGGGGCTGGGACTCAAGTCTAAACATGAAAATTCATTTATATTTCATATACACCTGAAACACATGGCTTAAAGATAATTTTATGCGACATTTTAAGTATGTGTTCTGACTGCAGTCTGTCACATGAGGTCAGGTGTGGAATGTTCCACTGTGGCTTCATGTTGGTGCTCAGTTTCAGATTTTCAAGCATTTTAGGTCCTGGATTTTCCAATCTGTCCCTTTCCTAAGTCACTTCCCAAGAACTTAATATGCTAAGGGTAGGCATTTATTATTATTTTCAAGACTGTTTTTATTTATTTGAGAGGTAGAGTTACAGGCAGTGAGAAGGAGAAAGAAACAGGTCTTCCTTCCCGTTGGTTCACTCCCCAATGGCCACAATGGCTGGAACTGCACTGATCTGAAGCCAGGAACCAGGAGCTTCTTCTGGGTCTCCCATGTGGGTGCAGGGACCCAAGGACTGGGCCATCCTCCACTGCTTTCCCAGGCCACAGCAGAGAGCTGGACTGGAAGAGGGGCAACCAGGACTCGAACCAGTGCCCAAATGGGATGCCGGTGCTGCAGGCGGAAAATTAACCTACTGTGCCATGGCGCCGGCCCCAAGGGTAGGCATTTCTTTAGCCCAATGATTGAGACACCCACATCCCATATCAGAGCTCCTAGGTTGGATAACTGGCCCTCATTCCCGATTCCAGCTTCCTGCTAATTCAGACCCTGGGAAGCAGTGCTGGTGGCTCAGGTAACTTGGCTCCTGCCATCAGGTGGGAGACCTGGATTGAGTTCCTTCCTCCTGGCTTCGGCCCGGCCCAGGCCCAGCCCCAGCCCCAGCCATTGTAGGCATTTGCGGAGTGAACCAGCAGATAGATGCTCCCTCTATCCCTCAAACAAATAAATAAAAATTTAAAATATACTAAAAGGTAAATTAACAAGGCCAGTTTCCCTAAAATCCCAAGTCTATAGTAAGTCTTTAGGCGATTTATGAATGAGAAAAGGATAACAAAAGCCAGTGTTGGTGCGTTAAGAGAACCAGTTTTAACAGCAAACTGGCTCTGGATTATAGAGCAGAGAAGAAAAAACCAGGCTCTCCTCACAGTGACACTGCTGAGTTCTAGTGTGACAGACCCGCCCCACGCCACATCAATGCGGGTGAACCCCAGAGGGGAACCGCCACAGAACCAGACAAGGCTGTGAACCCCAAGGGGAGGGATTCTGAAAGGGGAAAGGTGAGAGCTGAGGCTGTGGCTGTTGAGGGCCGGCTCCTGTGTCTTCCCCACCGTCCCCACACACACGGCCTCCCAGACACCTGTCACTGGCAGGGATTCGACCCTGTCTCCTGGTCCTCAGGACTAAAGGCAGCCCCGGGCCTGTGAGGCCTGGGGAATAGTGGGGAGACTGACCTTGGGCAGCTGTTTCCTCACCTTTCCCAGGGAGTGACCTACACTCCTGGCACTGCTCTCTGCGGGGCCTGGGGTGACGGCCAAGCGACTGGGCTTCCCGCCCTGGCACTCCTGTCTCCTGACAAGCTCCCAGGCCAGAGAAGCAACGCCAGAGCAGCACAACTGCTCCCAGAGGAAAACCCCTAGGAGAGCTGATTCCATCAAATGGATTTTAGACAGTATTCCCAGGATGCTAACCAGGAACGACGCGAACTGAAGGCACAAAAAAGAACCAAGCAGAAATAGTAGATATAAAAACCAAAACAGTGCAACAAACAACAAATGGGATAAATGGCTGCATGCATGCATGCATCTAAGAAATACATTAGCAGACCTTCCCACTTCTAAGTCAGGAAAAACAAAGGATAGTCAGAAGCTGTCAGGCCACCGAGGCCCCCCGATGAAACGGCACAGAGCGTTCACCTGGAGCCTCGTGGGCTGCTTGCTGCGGGGAAAGCCCCCGCACCTGCTGAGACAATATGCTGAGCCACGTGCCTTTCTGCACGCCCCCCAGGCACCCTACCAGGGTCCGTGTGGTGCCTGCACCTCTCCAACAAGCCACTTGGAAAGGGACTGCCTGTTGCCCAAACGATGAAGCCTGGCTTCAGGCCCCCACCCTCCGGCCTGGGAAGGATTCACAGTTCTAGATGCCACCAAGAACTTTCGCGATCCCTGCAAGGAGGTCAGAACTATCAACAACAACAGGACCTGAAAGACGTGGCTTCCCTCCTTCCGGACTTCCGGACGAGTGACGGGGGTCAGGACTGGTGAGAAAGTAACCGCGGATGTGAGGGAAGCAGCAAGAGCAGACTTGCAGCGGAGCCTGAAGACGCGACCCAACGGCTGCGCTCTCATGGCCAAACCTGGCAGACAGGAGCTGCCGCTCGGGTGAACAGAGAAGGGGCTTCTCCCGATGGCCCCGCACCTGCTCAAGAGGCTGTGACGCGGCTGACGTGACAACAGGAGACTGAGACCGTGCATGGACATCGCTGGGAAAGCAGAGAGAATGTCAGGACCGATCAAAGTGCTGCCCACCAGCATCTCATGCCCCAGAGAGCGCTTTCAGGGAAAGAAGAGTCGACCAGTGCAGCAAACTCCGTTTTTGCCTTATTTGAAGAAATTGTCAAAGCCACTCAGCATCTACCACCCTGATCAGTCAGCAGCTGTCAACCTCGGGGCCAGATCCCTCCACCAGCAAAAACAGCATGACTCACTGAGAGAGCTCATTACCGTTTTCAGCAATACAATATTTTTAATTAAGTTATACATATATATTTTAGACACAAAGCTATTATATGCCTAAAAGCCTACAGTATGTATAAATGTAACTTCCAAATGTGCTGGGAAACCAAAAATTCGTGACTCTATTGTGGCATTTGCTTTACTGCAGTGGTCTGGAAGCAAACCTGCGATCTGTCTTAGGTACGCCTGTGATACGCATGTCACGTCTGGCAAATGCTAGCAAAAGAAAGCTAGTGATGCATATCAGTATAGCTAAAATAGATATAAGACAAAAAGCATTTCTAGCAATGGAGGTCACCATTACTTGATGATAAATGTCTCATTTATAAGACAGAGCAATTTAAAGCATGATGTTCCTAATAAAATGGTCTCTAAATATACAGCACAAATACCAGGAAAAACTGAGTAATTACTGGTTCCATCCAGATGCAATAATTAAACTCCCCAGATCTAGTATTTAGAGATTCCGCACGGATTACGTGCTAGGCCATAAAGAAAGCCTCAACATTTCAAGTCAGTATCACCAGACCATCAGGATCTTTGACGACGACAGTTAAGGTAGAGTTCATACAAAAATACAAATTAAAAAGCCACATATTTGGACATATAAAAACATACTGCTAGTGACTCACAGGATTAAGGAAAATCATAACAAAAATATCTAAGATGTAAGAATAATGAGAAGACATACAAAAGCCCACTAAGCAACAGTCGTACCTGAAGGGGAATCAGTCGTGTATGCACTAGAACATCAAGACTTACTTATGCTCCCGGATTGCTTTCTCACATGCAGACAAAACAATATCCAACTCCATGAGGTCACTCTTCTTTTTTCCTTCTAGACACCAAATATGCACGCTGTCAGAAATACCTAGAATATCAAGACAAGTCAACTTCAACATGCTGATTGTTCGTATTTGGCTCTAGAGACAGAGTTCTGAAAGCTTGAAACAAAAACAGTGCCTCCCATCGGGTAAAGGCAGCTCCGGCTGAAGAATCCTATGGGAGGCGCCATCCTCACTGCTTCCTGCCCACTGCTTCCCTCACAAACCCCGTCTGTATGCTCACTCTCTTCCTGCCGTCTCTTTGGTTCTCCCATTTCTGCTGAAGCAACCAAAAGCTCTGCTGCCCTTTATCTTGTGTGTAGCTGTCCAACACCACTCCCGATAAAGTCCTTGTCGGCAAGGACAGTATTTTGTGAACTTTAATCCCTCCGTTAACTGGCCACTTGCAGAATACATGATTACTCGGTGCATTGTTTTAAAATGTACAGTAATATTCTGTAGTAGGATTCTGAAGACCTACAGTTCTAGTTTGAGCTTTTATTTATTTATTTATTTATTTTATTTAATGAATATAATTTCCAAAGTACAGCTTATGGATTACAATGGCTCCCCCCCATAACTTCCCTCCCACCTGCAACCCTCCCCTTTCCCGCTCCATCTCCCCTTCCATTTACATCAAGATTCATTTTCAATTCTCTTTATATACAGAGTATCAGTTTAGCATATATTAAGTAAAGATTTCGACAGTTTGCACCCACAGAGAAACACAAAGTGAAAAATACTGTTTGAGTACTGGGGCCCTGAGTTGTCACCTCCACACCTCCATGTAGGACAACTGTGTCCCTCTAATTTGCATGGAGTTTCCTCTGCTGTTTTCTCCCTAACTCTTCCCTGAGATTGTAGTCTCTCACCTTTTTTTATTTTAAACTATCTTTCCCTAGACTAGACCAGGAAGCTCCCTCCCAATTCTGCCATCTTGAAACCTCCAAAAGGTACTATATATTTTTTTTAAACAAAACACAGTATCTCAAGATCTTATTAGTCCAAATAAAATCTTCCTTAAGCTCTAAGGAACAGATTAACAAAAATTATGAAGAACCATTATATCCAATCTGTCTTTACTTAACATTTTTATCTTGGCACCAGAATTATGAGTTATATTCTACACACAAGAACACTTGCCTGTGAAATATGGAGGTGCACAACCTTGAGATCACTGAGCAGCTAGAGAAAGAGAACATTAACATGGGAAGCAGCCAGTGGGCCCCCACCTGCACGCATCTCCCTGCCAACCTGCAGGTTACCACCATTCGAAGTCTGTTTACCACTGTATAGTCCTCATGATTTATATGCTACAGGCACATACATATCCTAAACAAAGTTCAGTTTACATTTTGACTTTTTTAATATTTATGCCAGCAAAAGTTTTAATTTTCTATTTCATTGCAAAATTATATCACAATTTACCTATCCATTCTACCCATGACTGACTGCTTTCAGGATTTTTTTTTTTTAAACAGGCAGAGTGGACAGTGAGAAAGAGAGACAGAGAGAAAGCTCTCCTTTGCCGTTGGTTTGCGCTGCGGCCGAAACCGTGCCTATCTGAAGGCAGGAGCCAGTGCCTCTCCTGGTCTCCCATGGGGGCAGGGCCAAGGACTTGGGCCATGCCTCCACTGCCTTCCCGGCCACAGCAGATAGCTGGCCTGGAAGAGGGGTGCAATCGGGACAGAAATCCGGTGTGCCAGCGCCGCTAGTTGAGGATTAGCCTACTGAGCCGTGGCGCCAGCACTGCTATCAGGATTTTAATAGCACAAAAAATAATGCTACGAACACTCATAAATACTTTCACAAGGAATTTCTTTAGGAAATGTATCACAGGCACCAGCCAGGTCTCTGACTTTGTGTATTTTCAACATTACCGAAGTTGCCAAAATGGGTTTTCAAAATTGTTACCATAGCTTTCTACCTGCAGTGGGTAAGGATTCCCACTGCCCATACCTCATTCCCTGAAGAATTAACTATCTGCCAATGCAGCCGTGTGGCAGAGGACTTTGTCTTTTAATTAAACTTGTTGCTAAAAGGATTAAAGTTGTGGCAGAGCCTTCCAAGGTCAGAAAAAGGAAAAGGGAGGCATCTGTCCTGGAATGAAGTGGGCTGCTACCTGCCTGCCTGTGAATGCTTCCGCTGCAGTCCCGACCTGCCTTCTATGGACCACTTCAGGTCCTGCTTGCTAGTACACAGCAATGCTGTTAACCCTTGCAGACAGCTACAGCTCAGTATGTGCGTGGGAGGAAAAATGTATACACGCCCAGTACTGCATCAATTCTGTGGCTGCCATGTAACATCACAATAATCCAATCCAATGTAGGCATGGAACCAAGTGAGGGAGACAAAGAGGCTAAAGCCATATCTAAGGAAACAGCCCTCTTTGTTCTGGGCTTAGGCTTTTAGATAAGAAATCCCCACCTGGGCCTTATGCTGGCATAATAATAAAAAGACTACTTCTACTAAAAGCCTTGGTGTCTTGTCTCTGTGCACGAATCCTGCTACTGTAGGTGCAGAAGGGTCTCATCATAACTGAAGCTGACATTTCTGTCACTCATAATGGACTGTCTTTGAACCTTTTCTTTCACTGTTTCTTCTCCAGTAAAAATCCGTAATGCCACCTGCCCATTCCTTCTACCAGGCTGGCAGTGTGTGCATCACCCCCCATGTGCTACTGCTGTTTGAGTCTCACCCTGTGCCTTTCTTCATGGTCCTCTGGATGAGCACAAGTCCTTGAGTTGATCAGTTAAACTTACTCATTTCCTTCACAGCTTAACCTTTTTGTGTCTTCTGTAAGAATTCAGAGTCATACACTCCTGTACTTTCTCTAAAAGTTGTCAGATCATACCTCCCACAAATGAAGTCTTCTCTCCACTTGAAACTGACTGTCGAGTGGATGGGAGACAGAGGGCATCAGCTGGTCTTCCCGTGCCGGGGACATGGCCACAGCCCTTCCCCATCTCGTCCTACATCAGCCAGTTTGCAGAGACGCACAGGGGCACCTTCCCTTCTCTCCTTCCACGTCACTGTCGCAGGCTTAGAGTGGAGGGTTCCTTAAGTGGCTGTAGGCTCACCCGGAAAATTGCCTGGAACTAGGCCTTAACTGCTTCTTGCTTTTGTCTCCACAGGAATGTTTTTCTCTAGTAACTGTATTTCCCTGGTGGTTGTAGGATTATCCTGGTTGTGATCTTAAGAGCTAGTTTTATCAGCCTTCTTTTCTACAGGTTATATGCCACAGTCATGGATAGAGTGGAGACGTGTCTCCTTTGCATCTATTTTAAATTTATTTCCCGTGAAGTTGCTCATTCTATTCTTAGTAAATTCTACACTGCAGGCCGGCGCCTCGGCTCACTAGGCTAATCCTCCGCCTGCGGCACTGGTACTCTGGGTTCTAGTTCTGGTCAGGGCGCCAGATTCTGTTCTATTTGCTCCTCTTCCAGTCCAGCTCTCTGCTGTGGCCCGGGAGTGCAGTGGAGGATGGCCCAAGTGCTTGGGCCCTGCACCCGCATGAGACCAGGAGGAAGCACCTGGCTCCTGGCTTCAGATTGGCGCAGTGCGCCGTCATAGGGCCATTTCGGGGTGACCAATGGAAGGAAGACCTTTCTCTAACTCTGCCTGTCCAAAAAAAAATCTACACCTTAGCTTCTAGTGGGTGTGTAAAATCACACAATCACTTTGGGCATATGGTTTTTAACATTTGGTCGTTTCTTGTAAAATTAAACATATACTACCCTAGGACTCAGCAGCTCTACTCTTTATATTTTCCCAAGAGAAACCAAAACACGTGTTAACAAGGAAATGTGTGAGAGAAGGTTCACGGCAGCTTTATTCATGAGGGCCAAAACCTGGAATCCAGTCAGCATCCATCCGTGAGCGCCGGCAGGGCTGTGGTGCAGCGGTGCAGCGCAATGCCACACACGACAGACATCACACACAACACCAAGGCGGACCCACAGCAGAGCACATGCTGTGGGAGTCCATCCATGCAAAATCCCACACCAGGCAAAGCTAATCTATGGTAGAAAACAAGAGCACCAAGTCCCTGTCTCTGGGAATGTGAAGAGGGGACAGGCATCAAAGGGAATAGGGAAATTTCGGGAGGAATGGGAAGCATCGTTATGTTAATAGTGGTTTGAGTTACACAAGTGTTTGCATTTCCCAAAATTCAGCTATTATATACCCAAGATCTAGGCATTTCACTGTATGCACATTTTACATTAACAGAAAAGAACTAGGAGGGGCAGTGTTGTGGTACAGCAGTTAAGTTGCTGCATATAAGCACCAGTTGAGTCCCTGATGTTCCAGACTTCCTACCCAGCTCCCTGCTAATGTGCACTGGGAAAGCCATGGAGGGTGGCCAAGTGCTTGGGTCCCTGCTACCCATGGTGGGACACCAGGGATGAATCTCGTAGCTCCTGGCTTCAGCCTGTCCCAGCACTGCCCATTGTAGCCATTTGGACACTGAACTAACAGATACAGGATGTTCTTTTTCTCTCTCAATCTGTAACTCTGCCTCTCAAAGTCTTTTAAGATTAGTTATTTATTTCAGAGGCAGAGTTACAGAGAGGGAGAAACAGAGAGATACAGAGAGAGAGAATCTTTTATCAGCTGGTTCACCTTCCCTGAATGGCTGCAATGGCTGAAGCTTGGCTGATCCAAAGCCAGGAGATTCATCCTGGTGTCTACATGGGTGGGCCAGGGGCCCAAGCGCTTAGACCATCTTTCTACTGCTTTCCCAGGCCATAGCAGAGAGCTGGACTAGAAGAGCAGCAGCCAGGACACGAAGCAGTGCCCATATGGGATGCCGGTGCCATAGGTGGAGGCTTAACTTACTAAAAAGTGCTAGCCCCAAATAATCTTTAAAAAAAGAAAAAAAAAATGGTAAACAAGCATAGAACTCTGGTAATGAATGTATACGTTGAAATAATTCAAAAGAAATGTACTAATGTCAAATTTATTTTGAAATGCTATTAATGGACAAATTAACAACTCAAGTGTTAATTGTGAGATCAGATAGTAGGTGAATATACACTGTAAATTCAGTTTGTTGTATGTTGAAATTTTCACGACAAAACATTAAAAATAGTTACCTCAAGTCACACATGCCTTCATTTTTCAAAGTAGCAGTAACAATTTACTGTTTTCACCACTCAGCACTTTTTCCATTACATCTTTGCTAAGTGACAGAAGTATCATGCATATCTGGGGCAGACTTTGGCAGTTGGTTTATTTGCTGAGAGACCCACACCCCATACTCAAGGGCCTCGTTCCAGTCCCAAGTCCGCAGTTCCGCCTTCCCACTGACGTGCACCCTGGAGGCAGCAGGTCATGGCTCCGCTAGCTGGGTCCCTGGCACACACGTGGGAGACCTGGACGAGTTCCTGACTTCAGTCTTGCCCAGCCCTAGCTGTTGTAAGCAGTTGGGGCAAGGGAATCAGCAGAAGGGAGGTGGCTCTGCATAAGTAAATAAACTACAAAGAAATAAAACACCATCCTGTACCTGAATCTCCAGCTTCATTGCTGGTTTGTTTTCCTTTTGCCACGAGACATAGTCTCCTTTTCTGAGTTTCCTAGAAAAATATAAAGCACATGTTTTTATTGAAGAGTATTCATTCTTAAAACATAGCCTTAAGATGACTTAGCAAACACAATCAGTATTTAACTATAATTCCTTAGTTCTAAATTACTTATATCAATTATCTAAATTAGTTTAAGAAAACATTACCAAAAAATTGAATTTTCACAAGACTTTGAGTGGACTTTTAACAATCATTGCAAGGGAGAAAGTGGAACTTCCACTGTGTAAGATTACAATGTGCAGAAATCAGGTCACATTTCTGTTTCCAGCTATAAGAAGTAACAGTTCTTAAAGCTCTTATAGGGGAAAAGCCTCCCTTCCACCCCTCTAGGTTCTTTGGTTGAACTACAAATTAAGTTGACATGTAAGACAGAAGAACAAGAGAGAAGCCTCACTGAACTGTTGCCATAACACAGTGGGCATTCCCACACAGGATTCCCACAAGAAACGAAGGGCCAGCTAACTGAAGCTGGTGCAGCGTCCTGAGCAGCAGAAGGGGGTAGGGGCCTCTGTGGGTGGTCGCACGTAAGTTGTGGTAAGGGGAGGGGAGGAACTGTATGGTCAGTCCTGTAGATGAAAAACCCCTCAGGTGGGGCCGGCGCCTGCAGTGCCAGCATCCCATATGGGCGCTAGTTCTAGTCCCGGCTGCTCCTCTTCTGATCCAGCTCTCTGCTATTGCCTGGGAAAGCCGTGGAAGATGGCCCAAGTGCTTGGGCGCCTACACCCACATGGGAGACCCAGAAGAAGCTCCTGGCTCCTCATCAGCTCAACTCTGCCTGTTGTGGCTATTTGGAGAGTGAACGAGTAGATGGAAGATTTTCTGTCTCTGTAAATCTGAAACTCTGCCTCTCACTCAAATAAATAAATCTTTTAAAAAAAAATGAATATTGTGAGGTCAGATTTACCATCTACAAGTAAAATATGACAAAAATAGTACAGAGGATGGGGGATGAATAAATGAAATTATACTGTTATATAATTACATTATATAGTGGGAAGAAATTGTCAGCTATGAAGTAGGATATACAAGGATGACAAAGTAACACACTGATTCCAAATAGATTGCTAATTTAAGGATGTGTGTATATGGGTACACACACACACACACACACACACACACACGTAATATTTTTTTAAGAACCTGCAAGAGAACCCCCATCTGCTGGTTCGCTTTCCAAAGGCCTGCAACAGCTGGGCCTTGGAAAGGACGGATCACTGGAGCCATCACCTGCTGCCTTCCAGGTACTGCACTGGCAGTAAGCTGGAATCAGGAGATGGCAATCAAGCCCAGGTACTCCCAGGTGGCACATGGGCATCATAACTGCTAACCCAAGTGCCTACTTCCGAGGATGCATTTTTTTATTTTTTTAAGATTTACTTATTGGGGCTGGCACCGTGGCTCACTTGGTTAATCCTCCGCCTGCAGCACCAGCATCCCATATGGGCTCCAGGTTCTAGTCCCAGTTACTCCTCTTCCAGTCCGGCTCTCTGTTGTGGCCCGGGAAGGCAGTGGAGGATGGCCCAGGTGCTTGGGTCCCTGTACCTGCATGGGAGACCAGGAGGAAGCACCTGGCTCCTGGCTTTGGATCGGCGTAGCTCCGGCCGTAGGGGCCATTTGGGGAGTGAACCAACGGAAGGAAGACCTTTCTCTCTCTCTCTAACTCTGTCAAATAAATAAATTTAAAAAAAAGATTTATTTATTTATTTGAAAGGCAGAGGTTACAGAAGGCAGAGGGGAGGGAGGGAGGGAGGAAGGAAGGAATAGGGGAGAGGGAGGGAGGGAGGGAGAGAGAGAGAGACTTCCATCTGCTGGTTCACTTCTTAGATGGCCGAAATGAACAGAACTGCACCGATCTGGAGCCAGGAGCTTCTTCCAGATCTCCCATGTGGATGCAGGGGCCCAAGGACTTAAGCCACCTTCTACTTGCTTTTCCAGGCCATAGCAGAGAGCCAGATGGGAAGTGGAGCAGCCCAGATTCAAACTGGCAGCTATATGGGATGCTGCACTGTAGGTGGCAGCTTTACCTGCTACACCACAGCAGCCGGTCCTGAGGATGCACATTTTTAATCTAGAAGTGACTGCTAACAAAAAACAACAAACAAACAAACAAAAAGCATGGCTCATAAGCTAATAGAGAAAATAAAGCAGAATATTGAAGAATATTCAATTAATCAAAATTAGCAATAGAAGGACAGAAAAACAAGAAATGGAAAATACTAAGATTGAGTGAATATAATATTTAAAATTATATAAAAATGGATTTTAGAGAATTGGAGGGACAGGAGGTACAGATGGAAAATAAACAGCAAAATAGTTGACTTAAACCAAACCATTTCAATAATTACATTACAAGCAAATGAACAAACAATCCAATCCAAAGACAGAGAACATCAAACCAGGATAAGGACTTGCTGCCTGAAGTCCTTTTTAAATTTAAAGACAAAGACAAATTGAAAATTAATGAATTTAAAAAAAGTTTACCATGCAAAGTAAGCTTAAGAAGGCTCTTGTAGCTATATTAAGATCTCACAACAGAGATTTTCAAGATTTCATAATAATACTAGAAGCAATTCATCAGAAAGACACATACTTAAACACACAATTAGAAACAGCTTTATATAGAGTGGAATGGTGGTTTCCAGAGGCTGGAGAGTGGTGGGAGTAGGGAAGTACTCATTAAAGGGTACAAAGCAGGGCCAGTATAATGCATCCACAAGGGCACCAGTTCGAGTCCTGGCTGCTCCACTTCTGATCCAGCTCCCTGCTGATGTGCCTGGGAAAGCAGCAGAAGATATCCTTACTACTTGGACCCCTGCACCCATGTGGGTGACCTGGATGAAGCTCCTGGCTCCAGGCTTTGGCCTGATCCAACCCTAGCTGTTGTGGCCATTTGAGGAGTGAATCAGTAGATGGAAGATCCCCCTGTCTCCCTATTTCTCCCTTTCTCTAACTCTGCCTTTCAAATAAATAAATATTTAAAAAAAAAAAAGGTACAAAAGCTCAGAGAGACAAGAGAATAAGTTTTTGAGATCTATCACAGCCTAATGACTGCAGCAAATAACAATGTATATCTCAAAAATAGCTATGAGAAATTTCAAATGTTTCAGTACAAGAAAGGGTAAGTGTACAGGTGGATGGATATATTACCTGAGCTAATCATTCACAATATATATATATCAAAACATCACATGTATCCCATAAATGATTATTAATTTAAAATAATATATAATGATAAAAAGCTTTAGGGGAAAACAAAGCTTCAAGTTCATGACACAAAACTTCCAAGAACTAGAGAAAATTCATACGTTATGATGTTAAAAAAAAAAATCTATGTATCTGACAGATCAAGTAGACTATGACGCCCCTCATCAAAAAAACAAAATGAAAAAACCCTCCAAACAACCAAAGCAGGAAGGACCCACAGCATCTTAACTTCACCATCAGCCAACTCGACGTCAGCTGACTTTCAGAACACCATGCCTGACAACTGCAAATTCAAGTCACAGGGATGTTCACCGAGACAGACCTAGTAAGTAAGAGGCAGAACATGCATAAGCGCAGGGGCCTATGTCGTGACACAGCAGGCAAAGCTGCCACCTACAATGCTGGCATCCCACATGGGTGCCAGTTCGTGTCCCAGCTGTTCTACTTCCGATCCAACTGCCTGTTGATGGCCTGGGAAAAGCAGTGGAAGATGGCCCAAGTTCTTGGGCCCCTGCCTCCCACATGGGAGACCTGGATGAAACTGCTAACCCCAGTTTCAGCCTGGCCTAGCCATGGCAGTTGCAGCCAATCTGGGGAGTGAACCAGTGGATGGAAGGATGGAAGACCTCTCTCTCTCTCTTTCTGGGGAGTGATACCAGTGGATGAAGATCACCCCGCCCCCATTCTGCTTGTCTCTCTGTAACTCTTTGAAATAAATGAAAAAGAAATAAGAAAACATATTGATATTTCCTCGTACATGCAGAAGGAAATTCTGGAAGAATATGTAAGAAACTAATTACCTATGTGTACATTTAGTGAGTGGGAAGGTGGAAAGTGGAAAATGGGGTAGGAGGAACATTTTACTATTCTGTAACATTTTTTCAAACATGACGAGAATTATTTATTCAAAATATTAAACCAAGTGAGTACAGTGACATATTAACAACTTGACCAAACTATGTCAAGAATCTTAGAACAAATTCTGAGAAATTTTATCAGAATTTTTTCTAAGGAAAGGATCAGGGGTGCACACCAAGATTTAGCTACAAAGGACTTCATGAAGGCACTTAAAAACTGTCTAAGTACAGTTATTCATTAATACAAGTAATTAAACTGTGGCATATCCGTGGACAGAATGTTTCGCATGTTTTAAAAAAGTATTTCTTTATTTGAAAGATGTTATAGACAGAGGTAGGGAGGCGGAGATGTCTTCCACCCACCAGTTCACTCCCCAGATGGCTGCAAGGGCCAGAGCTGAGCCAGGAGCTTCCTCCCATGTCTGTGCAGGGTCCAACAGCTGGGCCATCTTCTGCTGCTGCTTTCCCAGGCACAACAGCAGGGAGCGGGCTTGGAAGTGGTGCAGCCGGGACCTGAGCTGGCGTCCATATGGGATGCCCGGGCTGCAGATTGGGGCTTTGACCTGCTGTGCCACATTGGCGGCCCCTGTTTGTGTCTGTTAGAAAGGCACTGTGGGGTACTTCATGACCAGTGCGGGAGCCCACCGAGGGTGAGAAATGCCCAGCCGTAGGGCTGAGGATCCCCGAGGCTAGTTTGGGGCTGCAGAAGCAGGAGGGGAGTTTGATGTTCTCTTCTAGAGTTCCTAAAACAGGTTTATCAACAGAAGAATGTAACATTCATCGTTTGAAAGAACAGAAGGAAGTAAAGAAAATACACCATTTTCCAGTAAACCTTTTCCTTTCCCGCGGGGCGACCTCACCATGGCCGGGGTCCCTCCGTCCGCAGGTGCACCGCTGCCACGGCCGCCTCCCGCCTCGGGCCTCTCTGACCGCGGCCGTCTCTCGGGAAGCCCCGACGGCGCCCCGGCCGGAACAGCGTCACACCGTCGCGCACCGATTCTCTCTGGTGACTGAACTTTTCTTCGTATCTCACTTTCTCCCGAGCTGTCAGAGCCATCGCTAAGGGGCTTACATCTTCTTCCTGGCTGCGAGAAGCAAACAGCGTCACGGGTCTGGAAAACACGACCGCTCACCCTCCTGACGGCAATGGCGCCACGCTGCGGAGCGAGCTTCTATAGCCCAGGGAGATGGCAGCTGAGCAGTGGACAGAACAGGAAATCTACAAGCCAGAGCTCCACGTCAACACTCCCCACCATCCCCTCTGCCGCTGAGGCCCCAGCCCCAACACGGCGCGCCACCGCTCTGAAAACTGGCAGAGGCGTCTGCACCGTGCCTTAACGAAAAGCACTTCAGGTTTTAAAAACTCACTTTTAGCCCAAAAACGTCCTCTGGAACATAGCGCTTTATGAAAACTGCCGCCACAGAACACTCTCCACAGTCAACTGGAGTGTGAAATGCCTGTCGGAGTCGGAAGAACAGGCGCACGTACCTTTGTGGCTCTCAGTTTTACAGACGCGCTTTCACTTGCTTCACTTGCAGAAGTGCTCAAGCTGTAGGAAAGAACAAGCCATCAGTATCTTGCACACATTCGCACACGGTTCTACGAGCTGCTCCCCCGACACGAGTACCGCTCAGTTTACTCTGGGGCTAGCCAGTTTGTCACGGGCAGGCCGGTCGCCTTCCTAGATTCATTGGCCGCCTCCCAGACCCAGCCACATTGGTTTGTCCCAGGCGGGCAGACGGCAGCGCTCCAGGGCTGCTGCAGTTTGGTCATGTCTGAGAACTGCGCCTTCCTCCAGATTACCAGGGCCGTCCTCTGTACCAAAAGCTAATACACTAGATTCAACTCTGGTGATCAAACAGGGAATCTCCTCTTTCGCCCTAAAAGTAACCCTGACTTCTGATGGAAGGTGAGAATTTTCATCTTTTCATTCAATACAATCCATCAAACACGTAACATCACCACAAATGCACTCACTTTAAAACTGAGGCCTCAGGTGGGCGTTTAGGCTAGTGATGACTATGCCCAAATTCCACACCTGAGGACCTGGGTTTCATACCTGGTTTCTGAGAAATGCTGTTGGTCTCTCTGCAGTGGGTGCGTCCCTGCTGCCCCAACTTCCTTTTCTGTTTACCTGCATTACTTACCCAAATGATGTCTCTTGTTGGGACTTGACATGACACCAAAACCAAGGTTACCGAGAACAGTCTCTGGTTAAATGCAAAGAACGCTCGTGCTCAGGCCTCGCCTCACGTGCTTCTCAGCTGCATTTGACCCTCCTTACTTAATTTCTCTCCCTCCCTCCTCTCTCCCATTTCCCTCCCCCCACCTCACTCACACACACACAATTCTGTGAATAAACACTGCCCTGGTTCTCCTCTCTATTCTCCAGCCACTTTCCCCCTCTCTCCTCTACAACTTCCTTCTCTACTCAGGCAGTAGATGCCATGGCCTCTTATGGGTTAGTCCCAGGCCCTTGCCTCCTCTCAGGTTAGCTTCATACCATCCACGTGCAAAGAACGTCTAACTCCAGCTCAGCCCTGTGCTCTGAGTTCCACACTCAAATACACAGGGTCTCTGACATCTCCACGTCAAACTGATGATCTGCCCACACAACTCCATGTCCCAGCAGCCCGTATCTTAGTCAATGGCACCATCATCAATCCATTCAAGCAGGCAAGGAATTCAGGAGTTACCACCGGTAGCAACTCGTCCCGTGCTGCGAAGTCAGCACATCACTAAGTCTTGCTCATTTGCCTCCTACTTCTCAAGTCCATCCACTTCTCTCCACCTCTACCGTGATGACCTGAGTCTACAGCATCCAAACTGGGCTCCCTATGCCATTCTTGTCTCTCTCAAATCCACTTGCCAGACAGCAGCGAGGCTGGTAATTTTTAAATGTAGATCCTACCATGTCATCCCCTACTTAAAACCCTCCAACTGCTCTTAGGATAAGGATAAAACTCTCTTTACCAAGTTTACGAGAGAGAATTAGGATGGCTGCACATTGTAAAAAATATATTCCCAAAATGGCTCAGGATAAGACACTTGTCTTTCCTTCTTGGCCAAACTCCAGAATAATTTAGGGCTGGTGTAGTAGTCCCGTTATCAGGAGACCCAGGTGCCTTGTATCCATTGCTCTCTCAGTACACTGCCTCACGGCCCAACATGGTTGCTCGGTCTTCACCACCACATCCCATTCTAACTAGGAGGAAGAAGGATGGAAAACAGAAGAGCACAATCCTCCCCACAAAGAGACTTTCAGAAGTGAGACTCCATTTTAGCTAGAATCTAATCACACACACACATCTCAGCTGCAACAGCACGGAGACAGTATGTTTAGAATTCTGACAGCCATGTGTCCAGCTAAAACCATTCTATTACTAGAAGGGGGAGAAGTATTCCTATTACTACAGCAGAAGAAAACAAACAAGACCACTACAGGCAGGTATTCTGGGTCATTCAAGTGTCAATTATGTTAATTACAAAAATTATTATAGGTAAGGCCAATTATAGAGAAATTAGTTTTTAATGTTCACACTCTCAAAATAAATGTCAAAACTTGGGTTTTATTAGCTTCTAACTTGAAGAACTTCCCAGAAATCTCAGAGCGTGAACCAACAATGGCTTGACGTAACCCTACCTTTCTTTCGTTGCTTTTCCTGGAGGAGTTGAAGGGACAGATGACCCACAGTGTTGGGAGAGTTCTTCTTCATCAGCATATATAGCAGTGCTGTGTAGGGGAGGATCTATATAAGACCAAAAATGTACAACTTCAGTGGTCTATGTGGGCAGTGTCCATTCCCTGATACTGGAGTACTACACCGTCTGTGTTTAAATGGTTAACAAAACCAAAATCAGTCCTACAGGCCACTCCCAAATGCTTCCATCCTCCTTCCTCTCTTTCACTCTGGGTTGCTAGAGCCTTTGAATGGCATAAAAAGTCATCCTCGAATGAAGAAATGACCAAAGAACTGGTCCTGGTAGAAAGGCATAGAAAGGAGATGCTTGGAGGAGGGAGGATGCTCTGGCTGCCCAGGAAAGGGGAGTACAGGAGACCTCGGTGCACTAGGCTGGGCTTATGGTGGAAATGAACTTGGCGGGGCTGTGAGGTGGCCAGAAGTGCTGCAGGGGGAGGGGGTCCTGGTAAGACTCAAGCTACTATTTCTTCAGGCTCAAATTTTAGCACACCAGTGCAAATGCAAGCAAAATTTTCCAGACATACAGGTGCTTAAATAATGAACTGTCAATTGCACAAGTTATTTCTTGGGGGGGAGGATAAAAATGTTTATTTTGGAGCAAAAAAAAATATCTATGCATAAGCAGAATATTCAGAAAGCTCACAGAAAAAAATTTATAAAATATGTACAGGGGCCAGCACTGTTGCGCAGTGGGTTAATGTCCTGGCCTGACACGCCGGCATCCCTTATGGGCGCCGGTTCAAGACCCGGCTGCTCCACTTTCGACCAGCTCTGTGCTATGGCCTGGGAAAGCACTGGAAGATGGCCCAAGTCCTTGGGCCCCTGCACCTGTGTGAGAGATGCCAGAAGAAGCCTGCTCCTGGCTCCTGGCTTGGATCGGTGCAGCTCTGTCCGTCACAGCCATCTGAGGAGTGAACCACCAGATGGAAGACCTCTCTCTGTGCCTCTCCTCTGTGTAACCCTGACTTTCAAATAGATAAAATCTTTTAAAAAATTATGTACATATTTCAATTTTTTGTACCAAGTTAATCTTTTGTTTCCCACTACCTTCTGAAGATGTGTGTATGTGTGCATATATGTAGACAGACAGACATAGCATGGGGCAAGACAAACTGACCATCTTCCCCACCCCTCCCCCAATCCCTTGAGATAGTCTCCCTTCTTCAATATGTGTTTAGTCTGGTCTGCGCTGGGCTACACACGGAAAGGGAACCTCGTCCGACTTGCGTCCTCACTGAGGAGGGCAACATTCCTCCACGCCCCCATCTCACGCCCACTCCAGGGTCTGCCTCGGGAAGTGCTGCAAGGCTGGGGTGCAGTCAGGCTCCAAGGCCCTGCCTGTGGTCCTCAAACACGGGGTGTGACTAAGAGGGAGCTGGAAGCCCAGGTAGCAAGGCTCCGCCGGCCACGGGAGAATGGTAGGTGAGGGGAAGGACAGAGCCTAATACAGCACTTGCCTTCCCCCGCCCCCTCCAGTGCTGCTGCTTCCAGCAGGCATGCAAAGCCCAGGCGGAAAACCAGGAACCCGAGGAGGGGAAAGAGGAGAGATGGAGGCAGAAGAGAACGAGGCTGGGGGCTCAGGTCAGGCAGGTCAGGCCAGCGCTGGGGCCCCAGGAGCGGGACAGGAACTGTGACTTGCACCTCTCTGCTCCCTGACAGATGAGGGTGAGAAGGGCAGCGGCAGTGAAGACGCATGCTCGGGCAGCGAGAGTGAACAGGAGAGGGGTGACAGGGACGAGGCGAGTGACAAGAGTGGCAGTGGCGAGCAGGAGAGCCCAGGCCTCCTGGGACAAGCAGATGATCTGGCTGCGATGCCGATCTAGAGGACGATGCCGACTCTGACGAGCACGATGAGCCTGTGGTGCAGTGACAGTGACTCGGACAGCAGCGGAGACGCAGGTGCTTAGCGGAGTCACAGGCAGAGCGCCAGTCCCCGCCCCCGTGGCAGGGAGCACTTGGCCCAGGGGGACAGCAGTGAGCCTGCAGCCTCTGACTCCCAGGAAGCTGACAGTGCCTGAGCCCCAGGGCTGGCACAGGCACCGTTACTGATCACCTGCACAAGAGTGAAACTAGCAATGGACTCTCTACTCTCTTCACCAGGAAAGGTTTTATTTACCCTGCTGCTGTGAATAACTAACAAAACAGACAAGATCCCAAATCTCCAAGTGGAACCATTCCAACTGAATGTTTACAACTTAATAAAACCCAATTATAAACAGGCAGAGTTTGAATAGACAGTTCTTCAAAAAGCATGTTCAACTGACCAATAGGAACATTAAGAAGATGTCTAATAACTACTAGTCATTTAGGAAATGCAAATCAAAACCACATTAAGCTATTAGGTTGTATCTCTTAGTATAAAAAACAAAGTAAGTGTAGGTGAGGATGAGCAGCAGTTGGGACCCTGTGCACTGCTGGTGGGAATTTGAAATGCTGCAGTCACTGCACAAGACAGCACAGCATGTTCTGAATACAAACACAGCACTCCTGTATGCAACCAGCCACTCCACTTCTGGCTATGTTCCTAAAGAAGTGAAAGCAGGTTCCAGAAGAGAGAAATTGTACAACCATGTAAATTACAGCATTATTCACAACAGTCAACAGGTGGAAGCAAACCAACATCCATCAACAGACAAATGGATAAATGTGGTACATACATAGGATGGAATATTATTCAGCTATAAAAAGGAAATGCTGACATGTTACAGGAGGGATGAACCTTAAAGACATTACATCAAATAAACTGGCTACAAAAGGGCAAATATTCTATGATACCTCTTAAACAGGTGTTAAAGCAGTCCAATTCATACAATTTGTTGAACTCTTTACGTAGTATAGAGTTCACCGTATGTGTTATAAAGTTAACTGCAAATAGATCTTAGTAAAAAATAAGAATGGGAATAGGACAGGAAGGAGGAAAAGAGCTGGAAGTGTGGGTGGGAGGGTAGGTACAGTGGGAAGAATCACTACATTCCTAAAATTGTATTTATGAAATGCGTTAAGTTTGTATTCCTTAAATGAAAGTTTTATGGGGAAAAAAACTCTAAATAAAAAACAGCAACTAAAAAAACACAACGTGAATGTTACAAAATTACACTTAAAATAGTTAAAATTATAAATTTTATGCTGCATTTTTCCATATATACACATAAAACCACCACATAATTACTAGAATAACTAGAAAAAAATTATTTAACAACTTTGGAAGAAGATGTGAAGAAATTAGGACCCTCAGAGCTTGCTGTGGAAAAATAAAGTGGTACAGATGCTTTATAAAACAGTGCTTAAGGCCGGTGCCGCAGCTCACTAGGCTAATCCTCCGCCTGCGGTGCTGGCACCCCGGGTTCTAGTCCCGGTTGGGGTGCCGGATTCTGTCCCGGCTGCTCCTCTTCCAGTGCAGCTCTCTGCTGTGGCCCGGGAAGGCAGTGGAGGATGGCACAATCCTTGGGCCCTGCACCTGCATGGGAGACCAGGATGAAGACCTGGCTCCTTGCTTCAGAACGGCGTAGCGCACCAGCCATAGCGGCCATTTAGGGGGTAAACCAAAGGAAAGGAAGACCTTTCTCTCTGTCTCAAATACCAAAGTACTCAGCAATTCCACTCTGAGGTACATGCCCAAGAGAACTGAAAACAGATGTCAACACAAAAACTTGCTCATGAATGTTCATACAACAATCACGCATTATGGTCCCTAAGTGAAGACCATGTAAATTTATGCCAACTTATGAATGGATTACAACATGTGGTACACCCACACAATAGAATACCGAGGAATAAAAATGTTTAGGAACAGCCAGATGCATGCTACCATACGGATGAACCTTGGAAACACCATGCTAAGTGAAAATAAATCACCGGGGGTAGGTGCTATGGTGTAGCGGGTAAAGCCATTGCCTGCAGCACTGGCATCCCATGTGAGCTCCGGTTCTAGTCCTGGCTGCTCCACTTCTGATCCAGCTCTCTGCTGTGGCCTGGGAAAGCAGAAGACGGCCAAACTCCTCTGCTCCCTGCACCTGTGTGGGAGACCCGGAAGAAGCTCCTGGCTTCAGATTGGCACAGCTCTAACCGTGGCGGACAAATACGGAGTGAACCAGCGGGCGGAAGACCTCCCTCTCTCTCTGCCTCTGCTCCTCTCTGTGTAACTCTTTGAAGTAAATAACTAAAAAAAAAAAAGTTTTGAAATACTAACCAAAAGTCTCGTAAGGTTCATCGTCTTTCTTACTTTCACTGCCATTGCTTGAGATTTCGGAGTTATCAGGAAACTCAAACACATCAGCAGGCTTGTGCTTCTGACCAGCTTTCTGGAAGTGAAGAAAACCAAAGTCACTGAACTGGTGCTAACGCACACCAGCCGCAAGCTGCTAGACTTAGCAAGGACATTCCTGCTCCTGCTGCCGCCTAGAGAAGCTAGCCACTCTGCTGTTTTCCAGGAGACAGAGGCCTCTGAAATTCTAAGGCCGGCCTGGCAAATCTTTTCTACAAAGCACCAGAGAGCATTTCAGGCTTTGCAGGTCACAAGGTTTCCACTGCAGAGGGAAAGCCCGCAGGGACAGCGCAGCCAGCAATGCGCAGGGCCGGCTTCCCACACAATCTACTCAGAGATGCAGACCTCTGCATTTCACACCATCTTCATAGCACACAGCATATCCTTTTTAGTTTATTTTGGCTATTTAAAAATCATTCTTTGTTCCCAGGCTTGTGTACAAAGAGGTAGTAGGCTGGTTCGGGCCCCCAGGCCCTAGCTTGCCTAGATCCCTAAAGAGAATGGTGGGCCGTCTCCCCAGAAACATGCCTGCCACCTGGATGTGCACAGCTCTGGGAGCACAGGGGCTGACAGTCCTGGCTGAAGGAGAGCCTGTGTACAGTTCAATATATGGATCAGGCTCCGGAGGCTGGGGTTCCGGAGGATGCCAGAGGCAGAACAGAGAACAAACGCACTCGCAACTGCCCGACCTGGACTTCATGTGAAATTCCAATGCCACGCGACAGGCCGTTGGAAAATAATTTGGAATTAGCTATCAAGAGCATTAAAGAAACGTACCTGCCATTACATACAGGTATTCTAAGACTCTCCTGAAGAAAAATAAAACTGTAACGTAGACAACATGGAACCTCATGAAATCACAAGCCATTGTCAGTAACACGGAGAAATGGCTGGGAGGAGTGGCAAAATTCAGAAAGCTGTACAATTTTTACACAGTGCTAAGTATCTAAATGAAACAAACCTAGGCTTGGAAAAAAAGAAATGTTTCTAAAATGTTAACAAAGGTTCTTTTCTAACAGTGGAAAAAGTGAGAAGAAAAGGAATAAACTTTTTTTTTTTTACTACCATAAAACAGAGCTTATCACGTGAAATACAGAAAACTCTAAGGTCCTCAAAGGTTACTTTTATTGTCAACTGTGAGAACAATCACATTAAAAGCTAAAAAGAACTTACTTCTTTCATGGGATGTGTTCTTCTTAAAGTGTTCTTTGAATATACTGCACTGAAACGGGAAAAAATAAAAGTTAGGAAATATTTAAAGCAACCAGAGAAAATACCATAACCTGACTCTCTCCAAGTATTGTCTTCCCAAATTACACTGCTCAGTAGCTGTACTAATAGTGTGCATGTAATGGAACTGAAGTTATGATGAAGAAGCAGAACCAATACCCTGCAAACATACAAGTCAAATTATATCGCCAATACATATAAAGTGACCACCTCAGTCCCTCAAGATCATGGAAAACTTCTAATCCTGCTGTCACGCTAGTCCCTGCACCCGGATCTGTCAGGAAAGACTGACTCTCCGCAGAGCTGAGCCAAGGGGACGGATACCAACATGGATGAGACTCCTCACACCCATTCCATCTGCGCCTGGCCTGGGATCACACAGCTTAACAATCCTACGAAGTAGAGGGGGGCCATTGACAGCTCTGCACGGGCACAGAGCAACAGGAAGCCAGGGAGGAGAGGAGCCTGCAGGAAAACCCCATCGGTTCAAATCCACAGCCTACCTTCTTCCCACCCCATAACACTCTCCAGTGACCTTGGGCACACCGTAAAACAGATTAAGGTGCGGATCTTCTAGAAGTGAAAAGGAAGCAAATGCAACAACAGTGACTAGACTAACAACTGAAAACAACAGTGGCAAGAAAAATCTATATTAACATCAGCACTCAGTGAACAAGCACTGAGCACCCTCCACAGCTGAGGCACTGCATGGGGTATTAGAGATACTTTAGTAGAATCCAGTACGTAGTTCCTGGCTTTAAAATACGCCTTGTAGTTTTCAAAGACCCCTTTGTGGAGGGCAGTATCAGATTAGTGTGTCTGAACCAATATTCTTCAGGTACTTTATTTGACATGATTTCAAACTGTCTCCCCTGTACCCAGGTTCATCAGTTGCCTTCACCGTCTCTTTTGCTTCCTCTGCCTGTGCAAGGTAAACACTCCTAACTGAAGTACTTCACTATGGCTTCCCTAAGAGGGCATGCATGTGCACAGTCATAGCGGATTTCCAAAATCTAGATATTTCACATTTGCAATGTGATCATCCAACCTACAGTCCATGTCCAAATCTCATCGGCTCTCCAACACCCTTTAGGATTTTCACCCTAGCATTTTCTTAAAAGGGAAATTCAAGGGAACAGAAAATATAAGATTGCACTGGATAGGATATTTTCATAAACTTTCCGATTTGTTTCATGCGCACCTGCGTACTAACTGCGATGCAAAACATCATTGTGTGAATCACAGTTAAAAAAAAAAGAAAGCTGGAACACTGTTTAGAGCAGTGGTCTCACGCCTGGCGCCACCCCCAGTTTCTGGCTCAGTAAGTCAAGGGTTGGGTGGAGAGTTCACACTTCAAGTTGCCACGCTTTATCTGAGTCTCCAAACCTAAAATGGTACAACAAGTATTTGCTCAATGGCAATTTTATGATTCTGGTTATAATTCAGAGGTTCAGGAAAGCTAAATGACTTATCAATGATGGTAACAGGGAAGTTTTAGTTCAATTAAATTTAGACGAGTTTATTTGGGCAAAGCAAAACCAGAAACAATTAGGGAATGGAGCAGCCCCAGAACCATAAGCAAGTTCTGAGAACCACCAGCAACCTGAGCGATCACACATCGTTAACTTAATTGGCTGCAGCCTACCCAATCAACCAATTGGTAACAACTTATCCAGTTCATTGCTTACAGCCCAGTTAGTTAACTGCTACAGAGCCTTCCCCCAGCCACCTAAGCCCAGTGACCGGCTTGACGTTCAGTTCAAATCCATGGCCTCCCACAAAAATCTAGCAATGGCCACACAGTCAAGTAACGTCAGCAGGAAGCAGAAACCACATCAGTACGCGTCTTAACCTAAATTGTTTCCAGCTGTCTCTTGCGTGTGCTCAAATCAAACAATACGCCTTCAGCTGGAGTCCAGGTGAGGCTTCGTTCAAGATGGACGCTTGAGACAACCGTGTTTTCCTGTGCATTTCTGAGGGAAGGGCTCAACACATGCCCTAAGTCTCCATCTCTAACAGGTTTTTAAAAACCTTTCGGCGCCTGGATGCCCTGTAGACAACGCTAGAGAGCCCGGGCGTCCACTCAGGAATCTGTGAACGACGAATACGACGTACTTTCCAATGCATGCCCCTTTTGAGAAAAGTTGCTCCCCGCCCTGGAACACTCCCGAAGCGGCAGCTCGGTCCCCGGGCAGGGGTGAGGGCCAGCGTTACAGTCTGCGCTTTGGGGTACGAAGGCAGACACGACCCGCAGGGGTGCAGCATGTCACGTCTGGGGAACAGCAGGCACCAAGCGCCCGCGACCCTCAGCCCCACGAACCCCAAAGTCTCTCCCACCCGCCAGGCCAGGCGTCACGCCCTGACTCCTCCTAGGAAATCCGCACTGAGAGATGCAAACCGAGGCCCTGGGCGAGCTGTCACTTCCACAAGGAAGCTCCACCAGCGCAGCCCCAAAGGCTCAAACCGCGTCAGTCCGAGCGGGACCCGCAGCTCTTACCCCGCCCGCCTCCAGGACCGCACCCGGCCCGGCGCAGCCATCGGGCTGCTCTCGGCTCCCGCGGCGCCCACGAAACTCCCGCCAAGCCCCGCGCCGTTTAAAACGGCCAATCCGGGCCGAGCACGCGCCCCGCCTCCCCTCGGCCTGGGTCCCCCGCCCAGGGCCCGCGGCTCCCTTCCGGCCTTGGGCGTAAGTGAAAACGTGGTCCGGATCAACAACTGCAACGGAGCTGGAGGCCAGGCCTTCAAGCTGCCGCTGACGGGCCACCAGAAGGAATCCCACTTTTCCGGGTTTTCCCTCCCACCCTAGCCCGGGGCCTGTTTCTCAACGCTGGGACCTCGACCCGCTGGGCCCGCCCACGGGGGCGGGGCTAGTGCTGAGACGTGGGCGGGCACTCAGCAGGAAGGGGCGGATCCCAACCCGAGGCCCCAACTGTAGCTGCAGGGGCCTTGCGCAGTGCACAGGTGCGTTGAGCTGCGAAAGTGGATTGAGCCGCGAGGCCCCGGGGGCATTAGAAGCATCTGAATGAGCCCTGTGTGCTCCTGCTTCCCTCCCCAGATCTCTGTAATGGGGCGGGTTCCTACGGGAGCGGATAGTCTGCGATTATTTTCTTTCTGTTTAAAAAGGCGTTATAATTCAAAAAGATGAATTTGCATATAAATAAGATGAATGTAAAAATATAAATCTATGAGAATGTAAATATAAAATGAACTCAAAATGGATCAAAGATCTAAGTGGAAGAGCTCAAACCACAAAACTCTCAGAAAGGAGGCCCATGCTGTGGCATAGCAGGTAAGGTCATCATCTGCAGTGCCGGCATCCCATTTGGACGCTGGTTCCTGTCCCGGCTGCTCCACCTCCGATCCAGCCCTCTGCTCTGGCCTGGGAAAGCAGTAGAAGATGGTCTAAGTCCTTGGGCACCTGCACCCGTGTGGGAGACCCGGAAGAAGTGCCTGACTTCAGATCAGCTCAGCTCAGCCCCTTGCAGCCAATTGGGGAGTAAACCAGCAGGTGGAGGATCTCTCTCTCTCTCTCTCTCTCTGCCTCTCCTCTCTGTAACTCTTTCAAATAAATAAATAAATCTTAAAAAAAAAAAAAAAAACTCCTTAGAAGAAAAATAGCGCAAAAGCTTCACAAAATTGGTAATGAAAAGATTCTGGAGATGAAAACTGGATGGCTGAGCAGCCACATGACTCTGCTTAGTGCCAAAGAACTGTTCAATTAAAAAACATTTAGCCATGATTTTTGGCAAAGGGTTTAAGATGCCCGTTTAGGAGGCCTGGATCTCATTTTGGTGTGCTTGGGTTCTGTTCCCACCTGGCTGATTCCAGCTTCCTGGTAATGCAGCTCCTAACACGAGCTTCCTTGTTCAAAGAAAACTCATTTATTTGAGAGAGTGAGAGGGACACACACACACACACACACACACACACAGGTCTTCCATCTGCTGGCTCACTCTCCAAATGGCTGCAAAGGCCGGGGCTGTCCCAGGAGAAGCTGGGAGCCCAGAACTCCTTCTGGGTCTCCCATGGGGACTCAAAACAGCACCCATATGGGATACCAGTGTTGCCAGCAGCGGGTAACTGACAGCACAGTGCCTGCCGTTCCCCAGCTGCCTTGTACTGTGCACTCTGGGAGGCAGTGGTGATGGTTTCAGTACTTTGGTCTCTGCCACCCACAGGGAGACCCAGATTGAATTCCCTGCTCTAGCTTCTTTGCCTGGCTCAGCCCTGGCTGTTGTGGGCATTTGGGGGTGAGCAAGTGAATGAGAGAGCTATCTCTGTCTTTCTCTCCCTCCCTTTCAAATGAACGAAATAAGTAATTTTAAATGGTTAAAATGCTACATTTTGTATGAATATTTGCACTACAAAATGCAACATGTGACATGCATACACAAGTATAAAACATATATAATGTAAGAGTAGGGTGAGCGTGCCTACAACCACCACCGAGTTAGCGTACATAACTGGGATGCTGGTCTATTAGTCCTCTGAAGAACAGACACTCTTAGGAGTTTATGTTGATCACTCCTATGCTGTTCTACCGATACAACCCTGGATAATGTACCAATTATCGGATGTTTCTAAATGACTTTTGTAGGTATTTGGGAGTTCTCTTTCTTACTTAGAGCTATGCTTTTTATTTTTTTATTTCATTTTATTTTATTTTATTCACAGGCAGAATTAGACAGTGAGAGAGAGAGAGAGAAAGGTTTTCCTTCCGTTGGTTCACCTCCCAAATGCCGCTATGGCCGGCGCACTGAGCCGATCCAAAGCCAGGAGCCAGGTGCTTCCTCCTGGTCTCCCACACTGGTGCAGGGGCCCAAACACTTGGGCCATCCTCCACTGCACTCCCGGGCCACAGCAGAGAGCTGGACTGGAAGAGGAGCAACCAGCACTAGAATCTGGTGCCCATATGGGATGCCGGTACCGCAAGGCAGAGGATTAACCAAGTGAGCCATGTTGCCAGCCCCCAGAGCTATGATTTTTAGATTTACTCACATTGTATCCACATCCATATGTAGCTGAAGTTCATTAATTTTCATTGCCTTCTAAAATGCATTCAGTAACTATACCACAGTTAATGTTTACTTCTTGTGTACGGATACATCAGTTGTTTTCAGTCTTGGTATCATCAACAAGGTAGTCCTGAACATTCTTGTGCATGTGTGCATGCATGTCTCTTTGAAGAAGCCTGGATCTTCTTCTGGGTCTCCCCAGTGGGTGCACTTGAGCCGTCGTCCACTGCATTCTCAGGAACATTAGCAGAGAGCTGGGTAGGAAGTGGAGCAGCCGGGTCTGGAACTGGCACCCAAATGAGATGTTAACATCACAGGTGGGGGCTTTACCAGCTACACCATACTGCTGCCCCTCCCCCCATTGCATTTTGATTTTCCTGTCCCTTAAGGTGTCATCTCTTCATCGTTTACAGCTCATTCCCATTTCCTCTTCCATGATGCGCTTGTGCAGGCTCCTGGGCAGCAGCCATGAAAGGGTAATGACCCTTAGGGACTGCAGGTAATTTCCCCACCAACAGGAAGAAACAGGGTTCTTGGAGGGGACTGGGTTGGAAGCTCCAAATTCCAGGCAAGGGGGGATAATGAAACTTCTGTGCTTGCAGGCCTGAAAAATGAAACTTCCCAGCTATGAAGACAGGAAGAGTTTCAGCATGCTGGATGGAAATAAGACAAGCTCCCCCCAAGCAGGTTTCAGAATGAAAAGGAGTTCGTGGGCTTGTCACCGGAAAGCCCTGGGCAGGCTAGGGCATCAAGCTCAGCTTCCCCCCAGGGTCCGGGAGGCATCAGCGCTTCGGATCCGTTTTCTTCTTCTCCTGGTTCGTCAACTCTTCATCAGACCCCGACCCCCGTGTGCCTGTGCCACTATGGAAGCTGTGACTCTCCCTCCCTCCTCCCCTGGCCCAGACTCAGGGATCCGTCACTCTATGCTCTACTTCTATGATGTCAGCCCTTCTGTGATCCCCACACAGGGGAGATGGCCCAGCGTTTGTCTTTCTGTGAGAGCCACCCACCCATCACCTCCATCACCTCCCCAGGGTGCACACAGGGACCCAAACATCACACGGGACCAAAGCCATGCACACATGGTGAATTTTATTCATGAGAAGCATGTGCAAATGCTCAAGAAAAGTTCAGTCAGCTCAGCGGATAGCTCCTGGAGACAGGGGCGGGGCGAGGCTACTTGGGGACCACTCTGCAACAGCTGCCAGGGCTGCTCCCTCGGGATGGCAGGATGCAGCACGCCCTCAGCAGGAACCGGAGGATCCTCCTGCCGACCCCGCGACGGCCCTGCCTCTTGCCCTGGGCGCTGGCCTTGGTGTCTGTGGTGTCAGCATCCTTGGGCTCACGGGCTGCGGCGGCGGCGGCTTCTGGCTCTGCAAGGTCCACGTGGCTCCCGGCACTGGGGCTGGAGGGCGACGCTTGGGAGGCTGGCTCAGGGGCGGCGCTGGGAACAGGGCTCCACTCTTGCTGTGGCTGGCCTGGTAGGAGAGAGTCAAGTGTGGGGTCACCTCAGGGGGCCTTGGGCTCAGCTCCTGGAGGCCCCGAAGTGGCAGGGGATGTGGGGAGAGGGCAAGACTCACTGGAGGCCTGGGAAGAGTTGGGGGCGGTGCTGGGAGCAGGGC